ACAGACAGATCAGCCCTTAGCCTACCAATGTCTCTTTCTTTCTGATGATATAACTTATATAGGCCCTATACCCCCATGTTATATTCTCATGGAAATACCCCATCCTCTTTAGTGGTTCAGTCTTGCCCCTCTAGGTAGTCACCACATGTTCTAAAGCACATCAGCTATCAGGGACAGCTGTTCTTTAGCAAGGGGTTGGAAAAGGCATCAATTTCTGTTCAGAATACAAGGAGAGGGCCCCAAGCTACCCACCCCTTGAGGTCTATACTAGCACCCATCCTGCAGTTAACTCACTCCCTCTCCCCTCCCCTCCCCAACACATACACCTTACAATCTGTTCTCTGCCCTCCTTTCCCTCTACTCCTGCCACCTTGCAGGAGCTGACATGGACGTGTGCCTTACAAACTATGGTCACTGTAACTACGTGTCTGGGAAACACGCCTGCATATTCTACGATGAGGTGAGGGGGTGGAGATGGAGTGGGAGGGAGCTTTCCCAACCTGAGGCCTATCCCGGGCACTGGGTTTTTGTTCAGTGCTGAGGGGGGTGGGGGAAGGGTTGAGGGTCCTCTCTTTTTCTTCCTTTCCTGTCATTCCTGGAGGAGAAGAGTCTTGGTGCCAAGGGCATCCTACCGGGGCTACCTGCTTCCCAAGAGCAGGGCTGCCATTTCCCCTGTTAGTCATAGGCACAGCAGGGAAAGCCCACCCCTGTGGGTATGTTCCTATGAGTTTCATCATCATCACAGGCCAGTGAGCGTCATGTCAACAGGAACCAGTTCTGAGGAGCAGAGTGAAGGAGCAGTGGGAAATCAGGGGGTGTAGGGCACTGGAGAGCAAGGGTTACCCCAGGAGGCGACTCTCCAGCGTGTTCTGAAAGCGTGGGGCTGGGCCATGACCAGGGAAGAAAGTGAGAGTTCCTTAGGTAGAGCAGCACAGCCTTCTCCATGTGTCCTCTCTCCCCTTAGCCCCAGGCCCCACACAGCAGACCACACATCTTATCTCCCCTCCTCCTCCTCAGAATACCAAACATTATGAGCTGTTAAACTACAGTGAGCACGGGACAACGGTGGACAATGTGCTGTATTCATGTGACTTCTCTGAGAAGACCCCGCCAACCCCCCCAAGCAGTATTGTTGCCAAAGTGCAGAGTGTCATCAGTAAGTTGGAGCAGAGGCCTGTGGCCACAAAGCAGAGGCCCCCATCACTTGCTGCCGATGACCTGCTGTCTCTTGCCTCCCCAGTCCCGTTGGCTAGGCTCTCCTTGCTCCTGGGCCCAGGGAAGGCCACAGAGAAGCAAATGCTGAGCACCCGCATATGTGCACACGCCTGTGTGGGGACTTCAGATGCCACCAACCCTTTCTGAGTGTCCCTCACCCCTAGTCATGCAGCACTTGGAACGGGGAAATGCAGGGGCCCAACCCTGGCGAACAGCCCAGATGGGTTGGCTGCTCATTGTTCCTCTCCTGTGACCATCCCCCTTTTTCCCAGGGCGCCACCGGCACCAGAAACAGGATGAAGAGCCAAGTGAGGAGGCAGCCATGATGAGTTCCCAGGCCCAGGGGCCCCAGCGGAGACCCTGCAACTGCAAAGCCAGCAGCTCGAGCTTGATTGGGGGCAGTGGGGCCGGCTGGGAGGGCACGGCCTTGCTGCACCATGGCAGCTACATCAAGCTGGGCTGCCTGCAGTTTGTCTTCAGCATCACTGAGTTTGCGACCAAACAGCCCAAAGGCGATGCCAGCCTGCTGCAGGATGGGGTCTTGGCCGAGAAGCTCTCTCTCAAGCCCCATCAGGGCCCTGTGCTGCGCTCCAACTCTGTTCCCTAGGGCTGGCGGCCACCCCGCCACTGGCCTGCATACCCACCCAAGACTCCTGCAATGCAAAAATGTACACAAACCAAGCCCGGTGTTTTCTATACCAGAAACCCTTCAACTACAATCTTTGCATGAAATGAAGAAACCCTTTTGACTTTTTTAAAAATCTTTTTTCTTTTCTCAAGTTCTAGGGGGCATTTGCACATATATTTGTACTCGACATTTCATGGGAAAGCGGCAGACCCGAGCTGAGGAACAGCGTGGGCAGGGAGGGGAAGACCTGTGGTCTGGACTCTTTCTCCAACACAAAACCCTTCCCCACCCACCTCCTGCTCCCTCCCCCTCGCCCGCCGTTGTAAAATAATCAGAAACTTGTTCTATTTTGTGGCAGTGACAATAGTTTTATATTAAAAGAAAAAATACAGTTTTCATACAGCAAAATCTATACAATATCATTGTTTTATTTAATATAAAGATCGCTACCCACCCTTCTTCCATGGTTCCCACCCTTGAGTTATTTTCCCTTTCTGCAGCGGTTGCACTACAGGTAGCTACTGTGTATTATGGACAAATGAGAAATGAATTCTTTTTCTGGCTGTCCATTTATTTTATTTCAAATAAGGAAAAGTGTATTTGGATTTTGTGTAAATACATCTAGTGATGACATTTTTTCAATGTTTTTAAAAACCGTGTACAGTACTACATGTGGTAGAGCGTTTTCTCAAATTGTCTATTGTAGCAAAAATGTTTTTGTCGTAAACCTGTTTTGTCTCCTTTTTTTGTTCTCTTGCCACTTCTCTCCTCTTCCTCCTGCCCCTGGCTCCCTCCTCTCTTCCCACCCCCACAACTAGTACCAATGTACATAGTAATTGTAATGTTTTAGACTTTACAGAAGCTTTCCTGTATTCTGTATATAAAAAAACAAAAATACTTCAAATTATGTTTTCTGCTTGTCTGTCCTACCTGTCATCACCCTTAGAGGGGACCCTCCCTTAGGTCTGGGTTCAACATGTGGGGGACCCGCTGAGTAGGTTTCATTCCCAGATAGTCCCCAGGGGAAGTTTGGGAAGAGAGGTGGGGTGTTGGAGAAAAGCAAGCCCAGGGTGGGTAGAAGACACTGTCAGGGCAGGGGCGCATCTGCTGGGGAGGGGTGGTTTGTTAGAGATCTCTGAATAATAGAGCAGAATCCAGTCTAGACCCATCCTTTTGCCACTTCTAGCTATGTGACTCACAGTCACAACTTCTCTACAACTGCTGTTCCTCCTTCGCTGATGAGTCTACTGCATCACCTCAATTGTAAAGCCTAAGGGGCCTCATTAAACCAAACTCCATCCTTTCCTCCTTCCAAACCTTAGGAACTCCCCTGGAAGTTTTCCTGAGGACAGTGTTCCTTAGAGGGCACCTCTGTGTGTACCCCAGAGCTATTCCAGCAATGCACCTGTTCACGTATCAAAATTTTGCCTCAAGGATAGAGAACGAATATTCCACCCCCAGCCTCATCCCACGACATCTACAGTTAAATCCTGAATCCACAGTGCAGCTAAAAGCAAACTTCCTCTGGGATCTGAGACTTCCATCTATCCATCTAGTTTTGTCTCTACTCTGCTCCCCTTGCCCTGGTAGGCTGCTTGAACTCCCTAAGGGCAGAAACTTTTATATATTCTGCTCAGCATCTCCAAGGTAACCACACAGCTATGCACGCCTCAGGTGCCAAATTGTACTGAATTTCTCAGGCAAGGTCCTGAGTCACCTGGCCAGGAATGCCCTTAGCCCACGCCTCCCTATTCCCACTTCTTCCTTGGAGTACGTTAAGTGATGGAGCTTTTTATTTTTTTCTTCTGAAACAGGGTCTCACTTTGTCACCATGCTAGAATGCAGTGCTCCTATCATTCACAGCTCACTGTAAACTCAAACTCCTGGGCCCAAGTGAGTATCCTGAGTACCTAGGACCATAGGTACACTCCTGCTAATTCTTTAAATTTTATGTAGAGATGGTGTCTCACTTCATTGCCCAGGCTGGTCTTGAAATCGTGACCTCAAGCGATCCTCCTGCCTTGGCCTCACAAGTAGTGGGGTTTCAGGCAAAGTGATGGAATCTCTTTACCCTTTACATTTTCTGCCCCCTGTGAGAACCAGTCCACAAATTCCCTCCTGAAGAGCAATAACAGATTTTATTCTGTCTCTTCCTGCTTCCTTTCAGAAATGGAGTGAGACATAGAGAAGGCATGAGTGAATCCTGAAAGCCCTTGACTGCTAGTGCCACCTTGAACACTGTGTCACCTCTCTGGCCTGTATTGGAGAGAACAGGGAAGAATCCTAGAAGCTGAGGGCTGGATGTGAGGATAAGGAATTGAAGCTGTAATCCTAGCACTCTGGGAGGCTGAGGCGGGCAGATTGCTCAAGGTCAGGAGTTCGAAACCAGCCTGAGCAAGAGCGAGACCCATCTCTACTAAAAATAGAAATTAATTGGCCAACTAAAAATATATAGAAAAAATTAGCCGGGCATGGTGGCGCATGCCTGTAGTCCCAGCTACTCGGGAGGCTGAGGCAGCAGGATTGCTTGAGCCCAGGAGTTTGAGGTTGCTGTGAGCTAGGCTGACGCCACGGCACTCACTCTAGCCTGGGGCAACAAAGTGAGACTCTGTCTCAAAAAAAAAAAAAAAAGGAATTGAAGGATTTGTTCATTTAGAGAAAAGCATCTAGGAGTGGATTGTCTCAGACACAAGAGTATCACGTCTCCAGAAGGGAGGGACTGTACTACATACACCTAGAGTAAGCACACGGAGCTGTTCATTCAAGCACACACACCCCTGTGGGGGCTCGGCGCTAATGTGCACAAACACCTACAGGGGCGCACACACAAAAGATCCAGAGGCACGCACACAGACGGAGGGTGATCCCCTGGCACATGCACACTTCGAGGTCATTCACACACACACACACACACACGTTGCAAATACAGGCACATGCTTAGCGGCACTCTCAAGAGTGCCCGAGGGCGCGCACACACCTAGGAGTTCCCACAGGCCCACATGTAGGGGGCGCTCCCAGGGTCCAGATGGCACACGAGCCTCAAAGGTGTCCACACAGGGACGCGCCCACAGGACGCAGACGCTGGCCTAGGCGGCGCTCGCCGGGCCCACACGCACCCGCACGCACACACACCCCTGCCCTGCCTCCTGCCCGCCCCCGCCTTCCGGAGGCCGCGCGCGCCCGGCGCCCTTCCAGGCCTGTGCGGCGCCGATCGGCAGCCGCTGGGCGGCGATCCAGGGCGGCGCGGGGCCTGGGCGGGAGCCGCGAGGCGCAGCCGGCATGGAGGCGCTGCTGCTGGGCGTGGGGTTGCTGCTGGGCGCCTACGTGCTCGTCTACTACAACCTGGTGAAGGCCCCGCCGTGCGGCGGCATCAGCAACCTGCGGGGCCGCACGGCCGTGGTCACGGGTGAGTGCGGTTGGGCGGGCGGTGGGAGCCGGGGGGCGGGGGCGGCGGGGGCAGCGGCCCGCCCGGCTCAGCTCAGCTCCGCTCCCGCCCGCCGCCCGCAGGCGCCAACAGCGGCATCGGGAAGATGACGGCGCTGGAGCTGGCGCGCCGGGGAGCGCGCGTGGTGCTGGCCTGTCGCAGCCGGGAGCGCGGGGAGGCGGCCGCCTTCGACATCCGCCAGGTGAGGGAGGGCGGGGGCGGCTGGGAGGGTGAGCTGAGGACTCACCGCGACTCAGAGGGGCGAGCAAGGCGGTTCAGGGAGATCCAGTTCCAGAGGAGAGAGTGCGGCTCGGCTGGTTAAGTACAGAAGAGGGGGTGCACGGAGTGCTCCGGTCACACAGGCAAGGGTGCGCCAGAACCAAGCTGGGAAGGGGGCGTCCCGAACTAAGGAAGTAATTGCTGTTTTAAAATGATTAGGACTAAGAGGAATTAAGTTTATGAAGAACCGGTGGGGAAAGGAACAGCAGAGGGAACAGCATATGCGAAAGCCCTGAGGCAAGAGAGGTAGACTGATTTGAGAAGCTGAGAAAAAGGTTTAATGAGGCTGGAGCACAAAGGAGGAGGAGGAGGGGCAAAATGAAGGGCTGGAGGCTTAGAGCCAGGACTGGGTTCTGCAGGCCCTTACAGATCCTACTGAGAAGCTTGGACTTTATAGGACTGGCAGCAGAGATCAGAAAAGGGTCCTTACTGTTAGAATAGGCTCTGGACTGTTAGAGTGGCCTTTTGGAACAATTCCTTTGTGGCTGTGTGATGCCTGAACTGGAGAGGGAGGGGTGGGTGAAAGGAGACCAATGAGAAGTTGTTACAGATTTTCCGGTAAGTGATAAAGGCGAGAGGGGATGATATCGATAATAATAGCAAGTACCTGCACGGTGCTGACTGCACGCATTTTACATCTACTAACTCATTCAATCCTCACAGCTGCTCTATGAGATAGGTACTATTGCTATTATTCCCATTCTACAGTGAGAGAACTGAGGCCCAGAGAGATTATGTATGTTGCTCAAGGTCACCCTCCAGTAAGAGCCAAAGTCAGGATTTGAAGCCATACACTTATCCACTATGCTCTAATGCACAGGGCCAGATTTTAGTAATAGTCGGAGATGGACTCTCACAATTTACTGCCTGGGGAGAGGGAAGAGGAGGGAGGTGCCTGGTGACAAGCCCAGCCCTTGCCGCTCCACAGGAGAGTGGGAACAATGAGGTCATCTTCATGGCCTTGGACTTGGCCAGTCTGGCCTCGGTGCAGGCCTTTGCTGCTGCCTTCCTGAGCTCTGAGCCACGGTTGGACATCCTCATCCACAACGCCGGTGAGGGGCAGCAGGCCCTGCAGGGGGGTGGCGGGTGGCCAGGGGCAGCTGCCCCCTCCAGCCGGGCCCTGTCAGGGGCCAATGGACTCATGGGAAAGATGCCCCCTACTCCCATCTCACAGATGGGGAGGCCGCAGGGCTCCTTCCGGAGGATCTGCTCACACCTAGCCCCTGCCCCAGGGATCAGTTCCTGTGGCCGGACCCGAGAGGCCTTTAACCTGCTGCTTCGGGTGAACCACATCGGTCCCTTCCTGCTGACCCATCTGCTGTTGCCCCGCCTGAAGACTTGTGCCCCTAGCCGTGTGGTGGTGGTCTCCTCAGCTGCCCACCGGCGTGGGCGCCTCGACTTCAAACGCCTAGACCGCCCCGTCGTGGGCTGGCGGCAGGAGCTGCGGGCGTACGCTGACAGTAAGCTGGCCAACGTGCTGTTTGCCCGGGAGCTTGCCACCCAGCTTGAGGGCACTGGCGTCACCTGTTATGCAGCCCATCCAGGTGAGGCCTCGTTCTCTGGCTGCTCTTGATCCCCCTCTCCCACCCCTGCCCCATCCTGAGCTCCCCCAGCCTCTCATTGAGTCACAGAGTCTCAGAACAGGAAGGGAGCATGGTCCAAGCAGAGACCTGTTCCTTGCTGATCATGGAACCAGGTTCTCCTTGTCTAGGTTCTTCCTCTCACACCACAAGCTGGGGTGCTGACCTCTGGGTGGGGTATGGCAATGAACAAGACCCACATTCTCACCCCCAGGAGCCATCTATACATACTGAATTGACTATAATATTATGATGATGATAATAGCTAATAATTATTCATTCATCCAAGAAGCATTTACTGAGTACCTACTACATATCAGAACAAAGTCCCTATTGTCATAGAGTTTGCATTCTAGTTTAGGGGAGGGAGAGACAGCCAATAAACAAATATATACAATGACAGTGGTGATAAAGTGCTATGAGGAAAGATGAAACAGGGTAAGGGGCTTTGGAATGCCAGGAGGTACTATTTTATCAGTGGCAGTCAAGGAAGACATATCTGTAAGGGTGGCATTTGAACAGAGGCCTGAAAGATACATGGCTTACTGGGGAGACATCCAGAGAGAGAACAGCCAAGTGCAAAGGCCCTGAGGCAGAAGTTCCTGGTGTGCTTGAGAAAGAGCTAGCATGACTGGAATTGAGTGACGGGGGGAGAGTGGCAAGAAATTAGGTCATAGAGATGGGCTGGGTCTCACAGGGTTTGGAGGTTCACTGTAAGCATTTTAGCTTTTACTCTGAGTGTGATAATTGATGAATAGACTCCTCTTTGCCTTTAGGGAATAGGTTACACCAGAATAATAAGATTTGCTCTACTGATAGTACCATACTGCATATTAGAGAGTCGTTACCTAAGGCTCATTAGTAATTATAATAGTGACAATAATAATCACAAACTAACCTTTATTAAGCCTTTATTATGGCCAGGCGTGGTGGGTCACACATGTAATCCTAGCACTCTGGGAGGCTGAGGCAGGCGGATTACTTGAGGTCAGGAGTTCGAAACCAGCCTGAGCGAAACCCCGTCTCTACTAAAAATAGAAAGAAATTAATTGACCAACTAAAAATATATATACAAAAATTAGATGGGCATGGTGGCACATACCTGTAGTCCCTGCTACTGGGGAGGCTGAGGCAATAGGATCGCTTGAGCCCAGGAGTTTGAGGTTGCTGTGAGTTAGGCTGACGCCACGGCACTCACTCTAGCCTGGGCAACAAAGCGAGACTCTGTCTCAAAAAAAAAAAAAAAGCCTTAATACACTCCATATCCCTAATGTCCAAGAACAGTGGCTGGTATATCATAGGTGCTTAATAAATGCTGGTTAAACAAAGGAACAGGAATCAAGCTAGAAGAAAAGATGGAAAGAGACTAGTGAATTGTTTCAGGCAGGAAACAGCATGACCAAAATCTGGAAGATGGGGATGTACAAGCAGTTCGGATGCAGAGAGGAGGCTTCATGGAGAAAATGAGTGAAGTCACCTTGTGGGAGCCCTGAATGCCTAGGAAATACTATCCTGGTTTCCCTGGACCTGGATTCTGTCCCCCACATCCCTTCTAACTCTGCTCCCTTCTGGTTGCTCAAACTCTGGGCCCTCGCCCACCATCCTTTCCAACTCCTTTCTTTCTTCGTGCCCACAGGGCCTGTGAACTCGGAGCTGTTCCTGCGCCATCTTCCTGGATGGCTGCGCCCACTTTTGCGCCCGCTGGCTTGGCTGATACTCCGGGCGCCGAGAGGGGGTGCGCAGACACCCTTGTACTGTGCTCTGCAGGAGGGCATCGAGCCCCTCAGTGGGAGATACTTTGCCAACTGCCGTGTGGAGGAGGTGCCCCCAGCTGCACGAGATGACCGGGCAGCCCAGCGCCTGTGGGAGGCCAGCAGGAGGCTAGCAGGGCTTGGGCCTGAGGAGGATGCCGAACCCAATGAAGACCCCCAGCCTGAGGACCCAGGGGTCCCACCCTCACTGAGCACCCCCCACCCTGAGGAGCGCACAGTTTCTGAACCCGACCTCAGCCCTCAGAGCTCACCAGATTTGTCTAAGGTGATACGCCGAATTCGAATCAAAGCTGAGCCTGAGACCCAAGTCTCCTAAGCCCCAGGCCAGGATGTTATTCATGGCACTTGGTGGCCCTTGAAAACCCTAGCTGTGTGCCATGCCCTGAGCACTGAGGGGTTTGCAATTTTTACCTCTATGGTTACTTTCTGGGGCCCCAAGTTGTGTCCTGGACAGTTCTTTTCCTGGTTGAAGGAATCATGGGTGATTATTTCTTCCCGAGAATGACAGCAAGCCCAGATGGAGGGGTGGACGCTAAGGTGCCAGGCACTGTGCTTCTCAGGAATTTGAATTTCGGATTTCCAGGCCCCACCCTCGGTGATTCTGATCAGCTCGGGAGCAGGGCCTGGAAATTTGCCTGATGCACTGCCAACATTGAGAATTACCGAACGGAGCCCTTTGCAACCATCTAGCTAGGTAGTTAAATTACCCCTGTTTGACAGAGGCGGGATTAGGCTCCAGAGGTAAGGGACTCGCCCAAGGTCTCACAGACCTTAGGAGCGGAGACTGGGATTGGAACCCGGGGGTCTGAGGCCAGGGCCGACTGACGGCTGGGAGGTGGGCAGTGAGTCAGAGATAGGCGGTTGTTATCGAGGCGCCCCGTGGGGGTGAGGCGGACCCCGCGATCTGGAGCCCCTAGTAATAAAGCGCGTTGACTGCCGAGGCTGCGCTCGCTCCTGCCTCTCTCAACATGCCGGCCCCGCCCTCCGCCGCCACACTTCCGGCGGGGCTGCGACCACAGAGGGGCGCGGGCGGGCGGCGCTGGGGGTGGCGGGATAGGCTGGGCGCGGCCGGCGCTGCGGACCCGCTGCTGCTGTCCAGGTCTGCGTGGTCCCCAGGGCCCTCCGTCTTGCGGCCGCCATGGGCAATTGCCACACGGTGGGGCCCAACGAGGCACTGGTGGTTTCAGGTGAGGGGGCAGCGAGGGAGGTGGGTGCTGGGGCGCCCGGGGCCGGGGAGGGTGCCTCGGGTGGGCGCAGGCTGGGGAGGGCACGAGGAAGGGCTGGGCCGGCGAAGGGCTCAGAGGGGGGAGGGATAAGGTGGGGCGCTGCGTGCTGGGCAGAGTCCACCGCGCCGCGCAGGACGCTGGCCCCGGGGCCGCACCTGAGACCCCTTCCGGGAGGAACCCCCTCGAGGAGAGAGCCCCCAAGGAAAGACTCACGCTTTCCGTGCTGCGCGCCCTCCGGCACCCGCCAGGGACTCCCCTCCCACTGCGTGTTCTCCGTGTTTATGCCCTCCTCTCTCGTCCCCTCCCTAGGCAGGGCCTCCCCTCCGCTGCGCGCCGCGGGCTTGGGGGGTCCATAGCAGAAGCCCTGGGGCTCCAGGAGGGGGGGACTGGTGGTTCCCAAAACGCAGAGGGTTGGCTGGGTTCCAGCGCCCAGGACTGAGGGTGGGTCGCGCGATTCTGGAGGGCAGGTGCCTGCATGGGGAGTGGCCCCGAGACGTGGATCCTTTCTCTAGGCACAATCAGACCCGTTAATTCCGAGCAGGCTGGGGCTCACTGGGGTTTACTGGAGACGCGGGTGCGGCCTCTACAGATTGGGAAACCCAGCTCTAGGTTGCAAAATGCTGCAAGCTCCGGAATTTCTCTCTAGGTGGGGCTTGGGGACTGCAGTGTTGGGAAAGAGGAGCTGCTATTTAGATTGTGTATTTGGGGTTTCTTCGGAGGTGGCTGAAACCTTTCAAGCCACCAGAGTGTGCAGCTCCTGGCTCCCAGGTCTGAGGGAGGGGGCGGTGTTGCCTGACAGCTTGGAAGCCTGGAGCTACAGGATTCCCTCATGTCTACTTCCCACTGTCAAGTGCTGATTTTCAGCCTGTGTGCACAGTTGGTAGGACTGGCTAGCCAAGAGAGAGAAGGAGGTCGAAGCCCTGAGGCAGGGCTTATAGCTGCCCACCCTGAGGAGGTGTGATAAATCCATTGGGAACTTTCCCCCTAAACATGGCCTTTGGATCTCAAAATCAGTCACACTGGGACATCCCCACTGTGGGGATGTCCCTTCACCCCCCTGAAGACCAGAGATAGCCTTGGGGTCAGAAGAGAGACCCCCAAAGAGCACTGAGGCCACACTTGCTCCTCTGTAAGACCTGGGCCTGTCTTCCAGCCCCCACGATGAGAGGAGGCTTTTAGAAACCTGAATCTGCACCGAACTTTGTTTTTCTTGTGGAATTTCCTTCAGGAAGCCCAGACTCTGGGCTGAGGAGACAAAAGCTCCAATTCTGTCCCTGCAGAAAGTCTTGAGACTGAGTAGTGAGAAGAGCCCCTGATAGGGGCTGCTCTGTGCCTTCCCATGACCAGTGCTAGCTTCGAAGCTGTTTTAGGGGTGCAGAGAGGAGGTCATGCTGAGAACTGAGGGTGCCAGAGGGCAGGAGACAGACTGATAATTCCTGGCTTACATAATAGTACCTTGGGGCTGGCATGGTAGCTCACGCCTGTAATCTTAACACTCTGGGAGGCCGAGGTGGGCGGATCATTTGAGTTTAGGAGTTCGAGACCAGCCTGAGCAAGAGCGAGACCCAGTCTCTACTAAAAATAGAAAGAAATTAATTGGCCGACTAAAAAATATATATAGTGAGAAAAAATTAGCCGGGCATTGTGGCGCATGCCTGTAGTCCCAGCTACTCGAGAGGCTGAGGCAGAAGGATTGCTTGAGCCCAGGAGTTTAAGGTTGCTGTGAGCTAGGCTGATGCCACAGCACTCTAGCCTGGGCAACAGAACCAGGCTGTTTCAAAAAATAAAATAAAATAAAATAAAATAATAGTACCTTTGGGATTTGAGATGATCAAGGCGAGATGCAGCTCCCTCTTGCATGTGGACTCCCAAGAGTGCAGAGTAGCTGCTCCCAACCTTGCCCCACCTGTCTACCTTGTTCCTTGGCATTTAAGTCCAGAGGCATCTCACCCTCTGGAGAGTGGTCCTGCATCTGATGGTCATCTTTCCTGTCTCTTATTGTCTCATCTTCCTCTTTCATTCTGTGACATAAAACGTTTTTCTCTCTACTTTTGAAAATTTTAAAGGGGAATCCTTTTTGCTTTTGGGGAAGGGTGGGGGAGTACATTTTTATTTCCACTAACCTGAACTGAAATTTAGTATTTCCTCTGGTTATGAGTGTCGGCAGCAATCCATGATTGTATTAGCAGATATTTTCCTACCGTTGCACGTACCTTGAAAATCGTTTCTGCTCAACACTACTTTACAATTAAGCTAGTAATGAGATCTGCTAGATCTTATTACTTAATGTGTTAATAAAGAAGCACCTATTACTATGTTGCACATTTGGTTATTTTAACATTTTGATAACTCAATATAATTTTTTATGTATTTTGTTTTATACATGTATAAACATTCTGAGGAGAGGTCCTTAGGTATTGCCAGACTACTAAAGGGTGTGGTTCAAAAATGGCTAAAAGCCCCTTGTAGGATGTGGTCTTCTTGACCAGTAGGAAGAAAGTAGAGGAGGAACAGGAAGAGCAAGGAGTACTCCTGAGAGGGCAGAGCTGTGCCCTGTGTCTGGGGAGGGGCTAGGAGGCTGGAGTAGAGGTTATCATGGGGTATTTGAGGTTCTTCCACTTGATCAAGAACAGAGCAAGGAGGAGCAAGTTGGGTTAGAAAAAGTGAAATAAAATTAGGAGAAATTTCCCTAAGGAGGTCAAGGAATAGGCACCTAACTATCCTCTCGGGAGAGGGGATCCGCTGCTAGTGATCAGGAAGCTGGCAGACAGATGCCTTCCAGGGGAGGAGGCTGCTGGGGGCGGGGCAATCTGGCAGTCCCAGCTTCCTGTTGTTGCTACCCCTGGGAACCTGGCCATGTTACCCTTGGCCAAGGCCCAGCTTGAGCTGTGGCAGCCCGCTCCCAAGGTCAAAGAATAAGTTAAAGGTAAAAGGTGGACACCTACCTTGTCCCCCTCCCCATCCTACTCCACCACTGCCACCTCCGCCCACAGCACATTGAGAAGTGCCCTGGAGCTGGCCGGAGGCAGCCATGCCCCAGCCCCCACCAGGCCAGAAGATGTAGAACAAGCTGTGATTTTTGGCCTTCTTCCACTTTCACTTGATCCCAAGACAGTTTGGGTTTCAGATTGACTGCCTGTCTTCAGAGGCTTCCCCACCCCACCTCCCAGGGAAGAAAAGCCTGTTAATGGCTTGTCTTGAACAGCAGCCCTGTGGGCAGGTATTTCCACCCCGGAGAACAGACAGACCTAAGACTCCTTCCTGCTCCTGCCTACACTGTGGCAGCTAGCTAGCACTCCATACAGGGTAGCAGTCAGCTCTCCAACCTGTCAAGCCCTGCCCAATAGGGGTGGGGCAGGGCAGGTCTTTTTTCCTTTTTTCCACCCATCAAAAACTTGTCCTCAGTTTGCTCTTCTCTCCGATGTCTCTGTTTTGGTTGTTGGCCTCACCACCCACCCAAACCCAGACTCTAGAGCTGCACTGTCCCCTGTGGTGGCCACTAGCCATCTATGGCTATTTAAATTTAAAGTAATTAACGATTCAGTTCCTCAGTCATGCCAGTCACATGTGAGGTGTGCAATGGCACCATGCGGCTAGTGGCTGCCATGCTGCACAGCCACATAGATATAGGACATTTCTACCCCCAAAGAAAGTTCTCTTAGACAAGACAACTCTAGAAGTTATCCCCTTACATCAGCCACTGTGCCTCGCCTGGGTTCCTGACCTTGGGAGGCAAACACCCTGAGGTCTTCGTGAAAATCCAAGTGTGCGAACATGGAAATGATGACACCCTCTGGCTTTTTCCCAAGTCACATTTCCTTCCAATCATCTGTTTTCTGTAGATTGCTTTGCACTACAGGTCAACCGCCCCTCCGGTTTTTGTTCATGTTTCCTTGAACTTGGTGAGTAATTTTGGCATTTAACAGGAGCAGTCACTACAAGAATTTCAGGAACGGATTTTTCTTGTTTGCGTATAGAGAACATGCTGAACATGTCCACAGCATAGATCTGAGTTGTAGCCAAATTAGATATTCTGTTTAGTTGACACACAGTTCCCAAGAACCACTTCCTTTCTAGGCCTTTTCACTTTCTCTTCACTTCTCCCGTTAGTACCACGAGTTGGCCTTTGAGGACTTGCCTTTGCCACCCATTCCCACAAGAGAAAAAAGGCACTGTGAAGGGGCTGGCAGTAGAGAACCAGCCACACCTGAGAAGTGTCTGCCAGGCACAGCAAGGAGCCCACCCAGGCTCTAAGACTCTCCCTCCCTCTTATCCCAGGAAAAGGTTCCTCCTCCTACTCTCACCTTCTTTGAGATAGGAATTGTATCTTCATCTCTGTATCTCTAGCACAGAAGAGTATCTACCTGTTTGTTGAATGAATGAATGAATGAATGCTTAAATGAAAAATGGAAGCTCTTCAAAACCACCCCTGCCCAATGACCTGTTCGTTCTCTGGCAGCATTTCTATTCTGAACTATTCATTAGCTGTCCTTTTTATGCAAATTGCCTGTCTGCCAAACTGGATTCTAAGTCCCTTAAGGGCAGGGAGAACTTGTCTCCCATTTATGTGTAACCTCAGCACCTGACACCCAACAGTAGGAGTCGCCCAGTCTCAGAGCAGGTGAAAGGGCCAAAGTTGCTGTCAGAGGAGGGATAGGGAATAGAGTAGACAAATCCAGGAACTGACTGACCTCGGTGGTTTGCTTTGCTCCCC